TATAGCATTAAAAATTGTTATAAATGGAACAAATTGTAACTTGGCGTCTCAACCTACAAGCCAAAAACAGATATAGAAGACAAATAATGCAGAACATATTCTCTGTCACTTAAGCAGATTATCTTGGAGGTGCTGTGAGGGTCTGATGTTGGCTGACTCTGTCCTCTAACCCCCTCAGGGCAGCAACTGTCAGTGGCTCTTAACACAGGGTGCAGGCTGTGCCAGGAGAGAGAGGAGTCTAGCAGTAGTTAACAGCCACTGCCCAGTTAAGTCCTCCTCTGTGCTAAACAGGAAAAACTACAGCATTTCTACTGGCTGCCAAGGCCTAAAAGCAACACATCATGTAAGACCTTTAGAAAAATATGTTGTTTTGCAAGCACAAAGGAACAGAATGGAGAAAGGTGTATTTCTACTCTACTGCACCTCATTGCTCACTTTTGCTGAGTGTAAGGTTACAGCTAGGGCTGTCTGGCAGTTATCCATACACAACGAATCATGGCATTTGTGTGTGTGCGCAGTGGAAATGTGGACAGTTATGACAGGTTGACCTCCACATATTACCGGAGAGAGTGTGCAGCCCAGTGTTACCTGTCATAACACAGGTTGCCTGGAGCCCTGGAGCACCAGCCTGACCAGGTCACTGGGCAGCCAGAAATAATAGAGACTGGCAAGAGGGCAATGATGGGTCACATGAAGGGAGAGAAGGGGGGGGGCAGACAGGGGACATATCACAGGAGGACTGGTGGAAGGATGAAGACAGGAGAATGAGACCAAGGAGAAATTTACTGTAGTGAGGAGAGCAGCAAGGATAATGATGTGGGAGCAAGTGGGTCAATCAAGAAGCCAAGAGAAGATAAAGGAAAGAGAAAGTAAGGAAGGTGGCAGGTGTTCTCCCTGCATATTACCTTCTCAAGCACCTGAAGAGACCTAAACATTATGCGTAAAGGCAGAAGAGAAAAACTTAGCATGGCTAAGGATATGATTTCTGAGTTGTCAGTGTCTGCTCGTCAGCCTTAAACCAGAAAAATAGGAGTCGGTTTTAACCACACAGACAACCTCACATCACTTCCCATTTGTATTGAAGCCCAGTTTTCTCTTTGTGACTATGATGTTGGAGCGTTCCTGAGGGGGCAGCCACCCGCCTGCAGAGACAGAACAGCTGAATTCACTTAGGCTTGGCCAGCAATTAAAGTGCTGGATTAAGAGTGATTGCATTTCGTGTCCTGAGGAGGCGCTGCCTGCCATCTTGAGGGGTCTCATTAACATGGCTGCCGTGGGCTGTGCTGAGCAATGCCACAGGCAGTTAAAAAATAATGGAGACATCATCAACCTTAATGTCTTGTACCTGGAGTGGAGAAGATTTTATAATCACTATTGTGATGGGCCACAGGCTGCCAGTTGTGTGAAAGGGAAAGGTTGGATGAAGATAACCCTTTTTCTGACCAGACCCCTGTGTGGTTTTTTTGATCAGCTACTACACGTGGGGAGCCCGAGCAGCTGGATTTCATTAATTGAGTGCTGGCAGCGCTCTGCTCTGGCGGCAGGGGTGAGTCACACTGGTGGGATTGGTCTCTTTCTCCCTGATATCATCTTCCAACCATAACTACAAATAATTATTCACTAAAATCCATTACCCGAGGTCAATCAAGTTCCCCAATCAGTTCTAAAGTCCAATTACTGGCGCCAAGGCTCTATTCGCGCTTTCCTGCAGATGAAGGCCTGGCCCACAGGCTGCCCAGTAAATTACACATAGCAAACAGAGGAACGTGCATGTGTGGGAGAGTGAGCCCCCTCAGGTGGGTAATAAAGCAGAGGTACATACTGGTCTCCCTGGGGCATTTTAACCGTACCATCTAGCAGACTCCACCAGGTTAAATAGAATTAGCCCATGCAATGAAACTCACTTTGAATAGCAACCACGTCTCATCACTCTACAGGCTAGAGAGCATGCAGCATGCACAGCGCAGCCTGGTATTAACATCCATCTCAGCAGTTGATATAATAAGACATGTCGCCATAAGGGTCTTTTTAAAGAGGCTGCACAGTGACCCATCAGAGCAGCGTAATGAGTGGGGTGTTACATGTACACACACACACACACACACACACACACACACTCAGGGCTTCGCTACAGTTCTCCAACCCCATTAGTGTGTGGCTCCTTGTATTGTTTTGCAGCCATCTTGAAAGTGAGCAGCGAGCTTGAAGGAAATGATTCTCACACACTCAACTGTCACTACAGAGAGACAGCCGTGCAGCCAGCCGATTCAGAGCAGCCGGGTGGGCAGTGTGTGTGACGGCGCATGTGTGTGAGCGTATGCGACACGCTAGCATGCATGTACAAGACGTGGTGGAGGTGAGCAGGACGGATGCTCGTGCGTGTGTGTGTGTAAAGAGCGGGGAGGAGGGTGGGCGAGTGCAGTGGTATGTGCTTATGTGAGGAGTAGAGCAAACATAGGAGGGACGGGGTGAGGCTTTGTGGATCAGCAGCCCATGACCAGTTGTCACATTACACACACAGCTCCAAAATCAGCCTGGTAGGAGGGAGAGTCTGACATTTCCCTCAGTGTCAGGCTTCCCTCATGCTCTGATCCGACCATGAAACGGCCAGATTCTAACACTGACACAACCAACAAGAAGAAAAGCATAAACATATGTCTGAGCTATGATATGCTTGCTTTGTTTACTGACATTTGGAGCAGCCTCATTGTTTAGTGGTATACTCCAAACTTTGTGGGTTTGTAGGGGAAAAGCTGAGTTTTTGGACTGCAATTACAACATTATGTGGGCACAGTTTTGCTTTGTCCTGAGCCAGGAAAGGATTTTGACTTCAGACTGCTGACACAAAGGAAGGCTGTCAATTTAAGCCCCTCCATTAAACATGAAAAAAACCCTCATCAAAGAGCCAGTCTCTGTCCTCTGCTTACATTCAAGAGATCCAGCAAAATGCTAAACACATGTGGATGGGCCCTGTGTTTAGGCTAAAATGGGCGAACATGATCCGGCAGCTTTTGAGTTAATCTTCCTTAGTGAAACCGCATGGTGCTGTTTACACAAGAGACAACTGTGTGTGTATGTATATGCATGTCTGTGTGTGTGGAGAATGTCCAGAGCTGCAGAACTCGCTGTTCCCTTTTGCAAAGCCAGCGCAGTTACAGTGTGTATGTGTTTATGTCAGCATGATGGAGGAGAAGGGTGTTACTCAGACCTAATGAATCCATCTGCATTCAAGGGGCATTCTTCCCTCGTATGCAGGCAGGAGCAAACGAGCAGCGACCTGGGAGCCAGTCCAGCTTGGGGGGGGGGCTGCTCAGGCTCAGGCTTTCCAAAGCAGAACCAGCAAGGACAAGTTCAGATTAGTATCCAATTCACCTATGTTCTCTCTTGAAATACAGGCCATTTTCAAAGAGAAGGGTTGAGGTTGCAAACTGCGCGGTCTCACCCTCAATCCTCCAGTCGTGTACTGCACTAAGCCTCGCTCCTTTCAGTGGGGACTGAGAATAGCCAAGAAGGGTTTGGCACCAGGGGTGAGGACTACAGTACAGCCTGTGCTCCGGGAGAGTGGCAGCTGCTGATGTCCTCACCTCGGAGTGACCTGGCACCCTAGGCAACCTCAATGAAGAATGGATGGAGGGCAGGAGGTGGGGGCGTTACGAAGGGGAGGGCGGTTGGCACTGAGGGCCTAGTCATTAGGATAATGAATCCAGAGCTAAGTGGAATTAGGGAGACCTCTAATGGCTGAAGCAGGTAAGAACACACTACAAGGGGCAGACATACTGTATGATGCCCGCTGTGCACCTATCCATCCATCCATCCATCCATCAAACATCTAATCCATCCATCCATCCATCCATCCAACATCTTTACCCGCTTATCCTGTGGAGGGTCACCAATCCCAACTGACACTGGGCAAACCCTGGACAGGTCGCCAGTCTATCACAGGGCTGACACAGAGAGAGAGGCAACCACTCACATTCACACCTACAAGCAATTTAGAGTCACTGGTCAACGTAACCTGCATTGGAACCTGGAGAAAACACAGGCACAGGGAGGACATGCAAAAGACCCAGGTCAGCCGCAAAGTTCAAACTCAGAACCAGTGTAACACCGTGAACACTATACATGCTTTATAATGTTAAAATCTACTTATTACTATCTGTCACTGACATGGGAAGTTATTCACACCTTCCTAATTTTTGTAACACTGCTACAATACTATAATCTGCATTTATTAAAATGGCACCACGTTGTCTGAAATTGTGAGTGATCTCTTGTGATGCATTAAATAGTTTGGCTCCACGTTATGTTGCTGACATTGCACCTAAAGTACAAAACGTTCAGGATGGCAACTTGATTACTTCTGATTTTTAATACGTCTTTCATTTGCCCTAAAACGTCAAATTGCCTAAAACCTTCCCAGGACTGGAAAGAGAAAAAGCTTTAATCACTGCTCTTCAACCATCGATGACGATCTTCACTGTTACAGCTGGATTTTTTGTTAAATGTTAGAAGAATAAAAAAAAACTTTTAAAACTGGCTGTGACCAACACATTTTTCTCATGTATCCTGGATTCTGTTATTTTTACTCTATTTAATATTTTACTATTTATTGTATTTCTATTACAGGCCTCTTCTTTGTCAGAGCACGTTTTAACTAGATCGAGGACAGTGGTGCACAAATAAACTGTTATTAATTCTTTCACATCCAGCGTAAAGTGTGTTGGCATAATGGAAAATCATCAAAAATGTGACACACACGTCACACTGATAGCTCCAGAAAAAAATCCTGTTTGATGCTAATACAATGAGTCAATTAATCAAATAGACAATATACAGAATCGACAACTTTGACATTAATAGCTGTTTCCAGCTATTCAAATGTGAAGGCCTGCTGCTTTACTTCATTTTATGATCAGTATAAACTGAATATATTTGGGTTATGCACCATTATTTGGCCTAAAACAAGCAAACTTCAGATGACAACCAGGACTCAGGGAATTGTGAGGGACATTTTATTATTTTCTGACATTTTGTAGATTAAACAATTCACAGTTTGAAAAGGTAACTGACAGACAAACTGACGAAATCAATCACTTGTTGCAGCTGTAGTTTCAACTGGTACTTTAAGATGGATACTGTCGTAATGACTGGGATGTCTGTGTGGGAAAATACCTGCTGTGTAGATTACACAGGCAGTAGCTACCAACACTGGAGTCTACTACTTTACCCTGAATAAAGCAGCACTTCTGTTTAAAATTGAGTGTGTGACTTCTTTGTCTTTTCATCTCTCGTGGTGCCAGGAGTGCAGTGCATTAAGAAGGTAATTCTGAAAATATTAAAGTGTGTTTTGTCTGAATTAGAAGCAACTGTACCACTGACTCATTCAGGGGACACCCAGCGCTGACATTTCTGGCTCCAGAGTGCTGAATAAATTTCATTACATCTTTGACAAATCTCAGGACTAATATTCATAGAGGTTACACTAATCACTCTGCCTTCTTTCATATCACGAGCAAACAAGGAAAAGGAAAATCTTGGCCAACTGTACCAACAGATTTAATATTATTCACTTGTTCATTTAAAAGCCGCCTTATTCTTTAAAATTCTGATTCCACTCTGAAATAAAGACAGTGAATAAAAGACATTTTGTCCAAGAACTGTTCACAGTAACTCAACGAGAGAAACTGACTATACAAATCCCACTGCCCTGAATCTAATCCTCTCTAAACATGTCTATTAATGGTCAAACTGTGCACAGTAATAGGAATTTAAAATAACTTATGACAGATAATACACCCACTGCTGTATTTGTCATGTCAATATTTATGGCATGAACAAGCCCCTGGCTTCACCATCTAAACACACTGTTCATAAAAGTGATCAGTATAGGTAAACTGTCCATGAGGGCTGCAGTGCCCTTATAGGAGAGGGCAGCCAATATCTTCCTTACATGAGAAAACCAGCATGAGGTCAGCAAACATATCTGACAGAACTCTTGAACATCGTCTCTCACAAATGGAAATTTTTTAATCTTTCCACTTCACTGCCCAAATGTGAATGTGTCTTGAAGCAGCAGGAAAGACGTGCTCAGCCAGCCCACTGATGCTTTGGATTAAAGCATGCTGAAACCGGGTTCCTCTGGAAAGGGTGACTTCTATCTCAGGTATTTTAAATTTCAAATCAAGTGTTAAAGGAGAAAGACTGCTTCTTTCTGTGTATACCACAGTCAAGGTCACAAATTCTCACTTTGTCCTGGCGTTTTGTTTTGTTTTTTTGTATATTCGTAATCAGCAGAAACATTGATCCTTCTCCAAAGTACAGTCCCACTGATTACTATGATGATGCAGATGATGATGAGAAGGCTTTGAGAAGCATGTCAGCAGCCAGGCCTGGAGAGATGGCTCCTTTGGTGACCCTCTGTTCGAGGTGGGGTAACGCCTCTCTGACACTGGGATGATTTTGGAAATGGGAGAGGACGTTCTCCTGGATCAAACTCCACATCCAAATCCTTTGCTGGGCCATCCGCCGGCCCTGTAGTTCACCGCTAGCTAACATGGCATCCCGGTATGACTCCATCTTGGCCCAGATCTCTGGGATACCTTCACCGCTGAGTGAGGAGGCACGCACCACCTGAGGAAGTTAAAAGGGAGGGGTGCGGGATGCATGTGTCAGGTTAAAGCGGCTCTTTTTCAGCAACCAGGTGGTTGTCCAGACAACTTGACTGTTCAGCCTGAGGATGTCACCAAAGGCACAGCAAACCGCCTTTCATACTTCATTCAGTATGGGAACCTTTAAACATCCTGTGGACTTGTGCCTCACTTTTAAGATTCTGTACGGCATAGCACGTCCTCCTCTGAGACGCTGTCAAACTCACGGACAGTACCTCCTGGAATGTAAAGGCAGTGGCCAGAGGCGACTGTGTTGTCCCACTCAGCCGCAGCAAAATTATTCAATGTTTCTGTGAGAAGCCTCTGGGATACAGAATACAGCTTTTTTTTAAAACCGAACTTTAAATACAGTAGGTTTAAAATCATCCTTGTAGCAGGTTAAGGCACACTGATGATAGACCGATTAATCAGCTTAATGTTTGGCATTTTTAGGTAACAGGTGCCGGTCAATATCTACGCTCAAGAGCTCGACTAATGCAGGTTTTATTTTACACAGTTTAGTTTTTTGATTCACTGGACATTTTGTTAATAATGAGGGGAGTGCAGAGCGTAGCAGAGATGATGCTGATTATTTTTAAATTTTCATATACTTGAATTCAAATATTTTCATAGCTCAGTATCTAATAACTGTTTAAGTTCAGCAAATTTGTCTTATTATTTTTAAATTGCTGTATATTTCTTATCTTATGTGAAAATAATTAAATCCAACACGGCATCAGCAAATGGGCATCAGGCAGTGAAAAACTAAGGCACATGCAAACATAATGGTCCTGGTTTGACTACAGCTGAGACCTTACTGCATGTCATTTCCTCTCTTTCTCCACCTGCTTCTTATCTCTGTACCATCTTCTGTCCAAAGGGAAAACTATATTAAAAAAAAAAATTTAATCCTACTAAGATTTGTACTTCTGGATGATCTGGTGTTTTTATAGATTGACTAACTTGTTTATAGTGTTTTATATTTATCTGACTGTACTGTTCTTTAAGACCAAGTGTTGTGAAACCTATTTCTCTTTTCGTAGCAAACTTTTCTATGGACAACATTTGACTCATTTTGTTAAATGTAACCGTTTTGAGAGTGGACTCCGAGTACAAATCGACTGTTCAGTTAAACTGGCACATTTATAGGGATGTATTTATAATGATCAATCTGCAATGCCTCCTATACAGTATATAAACAAATAAGAATTAAGTTTTAGTTTCAGCATCATGCTGTGTGTAAACCAGAAATGCCAAAAACAATTACTGAAACAGATACTGTTGTTTTCACATTAGAAAACAATCCATGAGGGTTTCTGTCAAATACTTTAGGGATTTGGTAAACACACTATTAAAAATATATTAAACTTTAATAATGAGAGCATTTTGTATCAATTTTATTTCAGCTCCGTCTGTGGAGTAACTGCTTTTCCCCATTCTCTGGCTTTCTTCTCTGTTAAAGTTTTTTTTTTTTCGCTTTGCATTTCCATCCTGGAAGAAGCTGTCACGTCACTTTTCTAACAGCGCGGTTGTTCATCTCCCCTTAACACCTTGCTCAGACAAGCAATCTGGGGATAAATGTCACTTTAGTCTGTTCTTCAACAAGTGACTTCATGTCTCTTTTCAGAGCTTGCTACAGGTTCAAGAGCACATGATGAAATCCAGGGTAACAGTTAAATTCAAAGCAGACACAGAAGTGAAAGTGCCTCCGATTTTCTGAACACAGAAAAAGTCGGGGAATTCAGTCATGCAGTCAGAACCCATGAAACTACTTCTATAACAGTTAGCCTTCTGTTTTTACCACTTAATCACACAGCAGAGAAAAGACAACAGATTTCAGCATTGAGGTATATAAAAACAAACCCACAGATCCTCTCCACTATCCAGACTGCTAAAGTGTAATGAAATTACATGTATCATTTAGAGATAATTTGACATCAACTGGCAGAGTTAAATACGACAGGCTGGAAAATACTGAAGGCCTGTGATCAACTGCCATTTATGAATCCTGTAATTACATCATTAGGTTAATCATTTTACAAGAACTGGATACGAGTCTGATGGAAAACCAGGACATCAAACTTTGAGACTTCATCTTCACTAAGCATCGTCTTTAAAGCACTAGCCCTAAAAAAAAAAAACTGATGTCACCTTAGTGTGCTTCCTGGAGGTTAGACCTAACAATTAATCAATTAATTTGTAAAACGACTGGCAGATTAGTATGTTTTAAATGCACAGTATTACCAAGAAAACAGAAGTCATAGTAGTATTTAGTATTTCATGCTAAGTGAGGTAGATAATACAGGGCAGACTGAAGAAGATGAAAAGACTAATTAACTGATTATGTTACTCTAGGCCAGACACAGAAGAGGGCAAAAAATGCAAAGGTGACTACAAATAAAAAGATGGAAAGAGACTATGCAAGCAGACCGTCAGCTTTTATGTGAGTGTGCAGGCTTCTAATCAGCGAAATGCATTACACATCAGCCGAGCAGCAGGAGCAATGGGAGGGGGGTGTTGCCTGGCAGCTTGCCCAGTGGGCAGATGCTGCATTGGGCAATGAAAACAAAGGGACAAGGCCATGCATGCATGCAGGTAGGTGGGCCGGTGAGCTAGGACATATGCAGGGAGGGGTGAGACACTGCAGTACCGCAACCATGACGCTATGATATCATCACACCCACCCGCACACACTCCCCCATCCTGGGTGAACTGACCTCTACCAGGGAGAGCTTGTCGGGTCTACAAAGCAGTTAATACCTCTGCTGTAGCTGCCCAGGAGGTCAAATGTTGAGCACTTGTCAATTATTTTTTAATACATAACCATTCTGTTGTTGGCTCCTTCCTTCACTACACTGTCAGTACTGCTATAGACACGCAAATGGCCGCGCGCACACACAGTCATTTGCTTACACACATATACACGCACCTTGGGGTTCCAGGACTTTGACTGTCTCCTGAGCAGCTTGAGAGCACTAGTGTACTCAGTCTGGATCCTCCTGGCCGGCACCACCAGGTCTCCATCTGCCTTTGTCACCACCACCAGGTCAGCCCTCTCAATGATGCCCCTCTTGATACCCTGGACAGAGGTTTTGCCATTAAAGGGGGGGGGTCATTAATTTCTCATAACACTGAAATAAATCTGATGTCTAGACGCCTAATCTGCTGAGGGATCCATGTGCAAAGTGATGGATCAGAACTCAATATCCCAGTGCACTTCAACAACTGTATGTCACATAATGTGAAGGCACTACAGGATATATTTTACACTAGGTTAACGGCACCTGGCAACACTACTGTACTGGCAACCTGATACATTTACTGTTTACTTCATAGTTTCAGTGAATTTGAAAGCATCAGTTTCATTTAAGATACAATAATTAAAACAAATGCCACTTGAGCTGTGTCCCACTATTAATCCTAATGAGCTGGGTTAATTAAGTCAATTTATCTAATTAAGCCATTAATTTAGCTAATAAATTAATTAGCCTATAGGTTTTGTCAACATAACTTGTTACATAAAATGTGAAATCTGTGGTATAAGAGTCAAGAAGCTGGAATCAAAATGTTTTTCACTGTTGCTTTTCTGGAGAAGTAACCCAACTTTACAGAAATGTGTGTATAATGCATTACTCGTGATCACATGACCAGCGCCAAAACATAATGAAGTTACCGGACAGTAATAAGAATACAGCAGCAAAGTAAGAGCGTAGTCTTTAGTGAATTTGAAGACATGAAGATGAAGATGTCAGATTAGCACTGGTTGAAAAGCATCTTTCTTCCAGTTCCTGACAGATGATGTTCACTGACCTGGAGTTCATCGCCACCTGCTGGTGGAATCAGCAACACAAACATGTCGACCATGTCAGCAACTGCAAACTCTGACTGGCCCACACCTGGAAACAAAAGCAGAGTGTTTTGACTGTTCCCTCTGACCAACAACAGGGCAAAGTTGACTATTACAGCAAATCCATAAATCTCATTCTTAAAACCAAATCCTCACTAAAGAGCCACCAATTTACATGTTCCATCATACGGTTACAATGCTACAGGTTTGTCTGTAAAGGCTTTTACAGTAGCACTTATGAAGAAGACAAAAAAAAATTAAGACATTCGGTGTAAAATAAAGATTCTTGATCAGAAATGCAAAAATGCTTTTGTATAATCATGAGCTTTCACAACCTTGACAGCGAATAAATTTGAGCCTCTGCGACACCACCAGTGTGTCTGATGAACAAGGGCCAGTGTCAGACCTCAACACTTAGTACTGCCCAAACTGTGACTGCCACACCAAGACTGAAAACTGAGCACTGAGAGTTGCAACTCATATTTCAGCATAATCTTACTTTTAATGAGTACTGTGGCTTTCATCATTTACTTCCTGATTTTAAGCATTTCAAACACATTTTAAGAGAACACTAATATTTATGAAGTTTGATAGATTCACAAAATGGGGTTGTATTGCACTGCAACAAAATGTGCTACTGTGCAGAGTTGCCACTTTTCTTTTGCGGGTGTTGAAAATCGAGGTTTGATACGATGGAGGGGTAAGAGAGGAAATTCCCAGTGGAGAAAATGTCCAAAGACAAAAAAATTTTTAAAAATGCTGGATATGGATTAGACATGGTGAAACCCAGAAATCTCTCTAAAGATGGATTTAAAAAGAATAAAAATCTAATCTTTTGCCTGCAGTGTAAATATAACCTTAGTATTAAATTAGATATATATTTGGAAATGTCTATCTTACCTACAGTCTCTACAAGGACAAGGTCATATCCAGCCCCCTCACAGAGAACAATGGCCTCATTGGTTGTTCTAGTGACTCCACCAAGTGTTCCAGAGGTCGGTGACGGTCTGATGAAAGCGTTCATGTCTCTGGAGAGTTCAGTCATACGAGTCTTATCACCCATCAGAGACCCTGCAACCACAAGGATGGCTGTAGCACAAATTAAAAGATTTTTGGTGTAATGGTGCTGCTGCTGCTGATTGCACAGCAATTACAGTGGCATCCTACTCAGTTACCAGTTTATTAGGTATAGCCAGCTAAAACTACATCAGACTAATCCAAGAGGAAATCCTCCTTCATGAAGGTGATAATGTTTAGTTTTTGTTCAAACTGCTTTAGAGAGGTGTTGACTCAACTGTGTGATCATTTTAGAGGCTGTGGTTTGTGCTGCTTTTGAATTGTACTGCATGAGAAACCTGTTGCTATAATGCAAAACAATTCAAAAGCAGCACAAAACTACAGCCTCCAAAATGATCACACAGTTGATTCAACACCTCTGTAAAACAGTTTAAAGAGCAGCCACAACCCTTTTCTTAGCTGAAAAACTATGTATATGGACATTTAGTAGTGTTGTTAATTGCTTCAGGTCCAAATAATGACATTTTATGCCAAAGCATTTAGATTCTGCATTTTCTCACAAGTATACATAGAGACTGCCCTCTACTGGTTGAAGCTCAGCTACTGCAATAAAACTTTGCTACTGGACAATATCCTCCCCCCTGCCAATGCAAACTGTGGAGAGTCAGGAGTTGAAGGTGCATGAATTTAGTAGAGTGATCCAGTAGACTGTTAACACAGATTGTTGTTATTGATTATTGATAAAGGGGGAAAACATCTCCAGTAAGGTTAGCTTGTGTTGATAAAGTTGGCTACCTTGATAGCTAACCAAGGCTGCTGTATCATGTTACTGCAGGGCCTAAATCCATACAAGTGTCTGTTGCCTAGTTTTATCTAGCTGCCCTGTGAGATCAATCAATCAGTTGTGAAAGTGACAAATATTGCAATAAATCAGCTGTGCTTCAACTACGAGAGAAGGTAATGTAGCAGAAGTTGGTAACATTAGTGTACACATTTATTCAGCGGTTGTTGCAGATTATGCGAGTTGTTCTGCTGGTTAGATTGTCGGTTTGACTAACATGATGGCACATTTAATTCAATTTAGACCCCTGTGGCATCTCAGTCTCAGGTGACAATGATTCTGCTGTGTTTGCATTAGCAGCGAGATCCCTTGCATCAATCTAGGAATCGTTATGTCATGTAACGCATTCC